AGTACATGTGCGCCGAAAATCAGCACCTCGCACAACAGGTTATTACACAACAGCAGACCGCAAAAGCCCTTGGCGGCCAAACCGTGTTTTGGCCGACAACTTTGTTTTCTCGGCTTTGGAACCACCTTTCGTAAAGTTGTTTCAATTGGAAGTACAGTCCACCCTAGTCCCTTCCTACCTCTAAAGTCTCCACCTCCCCCGGGCCATTGATATCCTCTTGACAGCCTTTTCATGGTCAAAACCGGTTCCCATTGAGTTACGCCGCCCAAACCAAATTTTCACCTGGTTTCCCTAAGCCACCTTTTCTTTTTGTATAATAAGTGCTGTGTCATGTTACTGTCAAGACCAAGCACCTGCGTGCCCAAATCTGCGCTTTACACAGCCCGCTATAACACAACATTTCGGGTCGAATATTGGATATCCCGTACAGCTTTGTTTCTTTATTCATTAGAAACCTAACTTTCACACCTGCTATCTAAAGAAACTTGGCACTCTTCGTGCACAAACTTAGTGAACATCTCACTCGCCTCCAAATATCATCGTTCCAGCAGTCCTAGGTTTACAGCGACGAGCGAAATAAATTTCCCACCCAGAGCAATCAAGGTGGCGGCCGTCTTGTTTTTCGGAATTCGGCCGCAACTAGAGAAATTACCCTAATAACGACTCAAACTCCATATATAAGAAGTGGAGAACAGCTAGATGCCCTTCTTAGGTCTACCCCAGTACTCATGCAACGTCACCCTCAACTTATCGGCTCAAAAAGCAAAAGTTTCGTCCGTGCGCGCTGCCGCCGCCACAGCTTGGCATGCGAAAAGGCGCCGCAGGCTGCTGAACGCGCCTCACAGTCGAACGCCAGCTCCTCCGCTAGCGGCGCTGCGCGCGTTTTTCAAAGCGCCCCCTATAGTTCCCGCACGGAGTGTATAGCGTACGGTCCACTAAAACTAGGGAGTTTTAGAATAACGTACGCAATCTTAGCGCACGCTCGCGCTAAATTTAGCGCTTGCGTTAGCGCTCGCTAGGCAGGAGAGTTTTAGAATAGAGTTTCCCCGCGGCGACGCAAAACGCAACATCGCGCGCTTGCAGCGCCGCCAAGATGTAGTTGCAGCTAGTAATGCAATTCTCGCACTTCAAAAGGCACGCGAAATGCTGTAAATTAAAAATAAAATAAACATTTTTTTGCCACAACAAACATCTTTAAACGTGTTTTAACGTATACTTTTGGTCACAGCCAACCTAATTTTTAGTTTAGTAGGTCACAACTAACAGAGCCAAGACAATCCACACGTGCACAATTTCGCGCCAAATTACGAACCTAGGTTGCGCACGCTTTGAGCTCTGTGAAGTGGTTTCTTTTTTTCTTCTTCTTTCTAATCATGCCTCCAATACGCCGATCGCGATCCAGTGTGCTGGTTGACCATCTTCATATGAACATGTCATGGAGCGATTTGGAGGACATGTTCCTCCAATACCGGGAGCCAGAACCGCGTAGATACAAGTCAAGTGGGGGGCTCCTGGATGTCGCCAAGCTCGACGACCTGACTTTTCGGCGCATGTTTCGCTTTGAGAAGGACGATTTTGGACTCTTAAATGACGTCCTGCTGATGCCAAAGGTGGTGTACAGCAGCCAAGGGGTTGTTGTTAGCGGGGAGGAGGCCCTCCTTATGTGCCTGCGCCGACTTGCCTACCCAAACCGCTGGTGGGATTTGGAGCCGATCTTCGGCCGTCATTCGTCGGCAATGTCGAGCATCGTCGGTCAGGCGATCTCCTGGAGGAGGTGTTCCTTTTCGCTATATTGCTCCTCGGTGCCTGACCTGCGACAGAGTAGCAACTGAGCTCGACCTGCTGCTCAGATTAAAGCACACACTTTAACGCCGCATTGCTTTAAATAATCTTTAGCAGTAAATGAAGCAGCACACTCACCTTCTTAAGTTGGCGCGATCCTCTGCAGCAAACTGTGCGAGCAGCAGGTCGAGGCGGTCACGTACCGCTCGCGTGCTAAAACCTTTGCCGGTGGCTGAAAGAAGGTTGCTTGCGATTTGGGCCCATCGCGATGGGTCCTCAAACGGGTTGAGGGCGTGAACTTCTTGTAACAGCGAAATGTCATCTTGCGCAGAAAAGCGCAATCGCGAGGAGGCTCCTGCCGCTGCTGCTGCCTTCTGAGCCGCCATTTGCCTATTCCCGCCGGATTAGAACACGGATCGTCTTGGCCTGTGGTCTTGGCTTTAGCCCTCTCGCAACTTATCGCGCAGCACGAGAACGACGCAAAGACCCTTTGCGTCGTCGGAAATAGCGCGCGCTATTTCCGAGAAATAGCGAGCGCAAAAATTGCGCACGCAAAGCGCAAAACCTGGTTTGCGTTCGGAGCATGCGCAGTGGCGACGACGCTATTCTTTGCGTGCGCAAAGCTTTAGCGTGTGCTATTCTAAAACTCCCTACTGTCTAATGACTTCACCGGCGCTCTTGCACAGTGTTTCAGGTTCAGTTTGATGCCGTGTATCAGGGCGCCATTTCTGGACCTAGTAGCACCTACTAGAAATTTCTTTATCAAAATTTGACTGAACTGCTAGAACATATTGAGGTTAAGCTTCAATGGACCTTTTTTCAGTAAGCTTCTGCGCATGCGAACACTCCCGCTGTCGCCATTTTCATAGGACACAGGTACGCGGTGCCCTGCAAAATTGACAGCAACATCGTCGGCATCAATCTTCGTGCGTATTTAGGCGATTTTGACGCTTTGTTTTTTAGTATCGGTAGTATGGGGTATAAAAAGCACTGAAAACCGATACAACGGCACAATGCTAATGCGTTTTGATGGGCGAAAGCATGTTGGGCTGCTCTTCTACTGTACTTCGCAGCCAACTCCCCAGACAGCGGTTGTTACTTGAAAAAGGTCCATTTCCCAAAAGCAATATGTGTCGAGTAAAAAATTAAAAAGTTATATAAATAAATTTAGTTTCTTAGCTAAGTAATTACCTAATTTCGCCTTTTTTCTAGCCAACATCACAAGTCCACCATGGCCTTGTGATGTTGACTAGATGTTTTAATTTTTTTTTAATTGAAATGACCTTTGTATTGATACTGTGTTAATTGATCCATTTCTTGAGCTGTGCAGACATTGAATGGTGAAATATCCATCACAGTCAGTTGGCTAATTAGCTAAAATTTGTCAATTAACTTTTTAATTACTAGCTCTACAACTACTCAATTATTGAACAAGACATGGCCCTTTGTTCTAATAGTGTTAACTTTTCACTGTTGATGTGTAATGCTTTTAATCTTTTTTATTTAATTTAGGTCTCTCGGCTAGGTTCTCGGCCACCCGAGAATGCGCTAGGGAGCGCATTCGGGGTGGCGAATAGAGAAATGTTCTGTGCTAGGAAGTTGTGTAGGATGATCATTGGGGTTTAAGGGTGCAACAAAAGCTTGGGCCATATTCTGCCAATGAAGTTGTGTAAGCAACTTCCTAACACAGGATAAAGGCCCGTTCACACTCTTGCGACTGCTTGCGACCTCTTAAACCTGGACCAGAGAACACACTGGCGCCATCTATTGGGAAGCAGTGTAAACTCGGCGGTCCGGCATATTTTTTTTTTTATTTCTCGCGCAATATCCTTTTTTTTTTTTTTTTGGCTCGAAAAACTTTTGTCAATGTTATAAACGAGACTTTCTATGGGTATTACGCACATTTGACCTCGGAAATCCCGCAAAACCTTCGCTTTTGTGAAATGCAGTTCTAGGGTCACCGCATAGATGGCGCCACAATGTCAGTGTGTTCCCTCATTTTAGAAACACTTAAGAGTTGTAAGAGATCTCGTCTCTCTCAGTCGTACTCGGTCGCAATAGTGTGAACGGGCCTTAACTGTTCGTGCCCATGGACCTCCAGGCTTTTTCGTGTTAGAACTTATTGAAGAGTGTTGTGTGAAGCAGCGAAACCAGGCCTATGCAGGGGCTAATGATTTTGTTCGGTTTGAAGTCTCGAACAGGGGACTGCCTTTTAAGCTTACAATATTGGCTATGATTTATTGTATCACTGCTGCATGTGAGCCACCATGCAGGCTGATTTGCTGCAGTGTTTGCCTATGGTAGATAGGTAGATAAGGTCCTCGTAGAGCCAATAAATCAGCTACGCTGTCGGCTGCTCTTTCAAATTTTTCTACCTGTTAAAACTTGTCTTTAACCCAGTAATTGCGATAAGAAGTGCACGACTCGACTTTTTTTAAGTTTCCGGATTGTGCGATGCAAGTAGGCTCAGTGAAAACAGTAGATACAAAGAGATGTTGACCATTGTTAGCAGTAGCCATCACCGACTTGTCATGCCCGATTCACTCGGTCCTATCCTTCTTGCAATTTTCAATACCGACGTCAAGCACCGCAGCTACCATCCACGCTTCTACATCGCAAGCTACGTTGCAACTGAAAATAGCGAGCAGAATCTCATCGTGTGAATCAGGCTGCAGCATCCATTGTGCGGCTTTCGAGCGAAATGAATTGCCTTATTTCACATTATTTGCACAAAGTTTTGCGATGTAACAAGCCTCGTTAATTTTGCTCGGGCCACTATAGCTGATGACAACTCAAGAAGGTAAAGCGAGGGAAAGAAAGGTGAGAGGAGGAAACCCCCTCCCCTCACCAGCATTGCATCCACTTCCTCCTGTCCCACCTTCCTTTTCCTTGCCCTACCTTCTTAACCCGCAACATACTATAAAGTAGTAAGACATTGGTAGGAAGACATAGATTCCACAACTCCAACGTGAAAAAGAACACAGACTCAAATTGACGCCGACAACATCAGATTCCAATGGTTTGTTCATGTGGGACGCGTTGCTTGTTGCCCAAACCCCATCGCGCACGCGTGGCACGCCACTGGGGGCAGTCCGGTTTGTTTGTAAACATGAGTTGGCGTATACACCTTGCAAAGGCGCATCATGCCGACACCTCACCGGACGACGAGGTCGAAGGGCCCGTAGCTCCAACGAAGACAAACTGACACGGACGCAGGATGAAATGACTGCATAAACTTTACTTCTCTCGAATGACTGGGGTGTGCAATTCTTATGGTACAAAAACAGGGTGGTGATGGCCTATGTACACTTTCATACACTCGCACGATAAAACAGCTGCAATAACTTATGGCACGACAGCTATACTCTATTCCCAAAAGGTACTTCATCTCTGCTATCGAGAAGCCACTGGAAGGGGTGAGGAGACAATGCGGGCCACGGTCGCCGCAGCGAAACGCAGGGTGCGGCAAGTCCCGTGCGTCTTTTAACGGTGCCTCGGCCAACGGGAGTGCAGAATTGGCCGATAAACAAGCCGAAAAACGAATCGCAAAGCAAGACACGCACAAACAGCCGCGCCCCGCGTTTCCCGAGCTGTCGGCGACGAGTTTTAGAAGCGTGCAGAGTCCAGAAATAGTCTAGTAAGGGGTCGTATAGAATTAAGCCAGAATTGGTATTGTTCAGCACGACGTACGATGTGGTATGCATTTGGCCACGGCGCTCAAAAGCAGAGATCAAGAAAGGGCACCGAGAAGCAAGACTATGGGGTTTTATGTGCGCGCCTCTTCTTGACACTTCCTTTCCGAGCGCCCTGAAAATTTGGCTCCTCGATCCCGCTGAAACGCACAAACAAAAATGCACTTCAATCCTGCACCCGCTCGGGAATATACTCTTCGTTTCCCCTTACGATGCAGCACGGAGGACGCTACGAGCCTTCCAGCTGACCAACTGCCATGCGAGTGTCGCATAGCCTTCGGTACGAACGCAGCAATCTGCGGGGTGCATGGTACGTCCAAAGCACTGGCCCGACTTTGATGGCTCGTAGAGCCTGCTGCGGCCCAGTGTAGGGTGAAACGAGAAATGGGCAGGCCCAAGCCCACAATAGATGGTGAGAGAAGGTTTTTCAACGTTGCATTCGTTTGCTGCAGTTCTTTTTGTTGTTTCGTGGCTCCCTCCAGTGGTTCTTTCAATAGTTTCTCTTTCTCAAAAAAGAAAAAATAATACAATAGGCTAGGGTATAAAACCAACTTGGAATGCAAGAAACCGTCGGAAGCGAGGAAAGGACCCTCTCGCGGCGAAAATTCGAATCCGGCGCCTCGATTTTTTCGACTTGCCCCCGCAACGCTGTTAAGTTACGCGCAGAAGAGACAACACAAATTTAAAAAAGGAAGAAGGCAGCTACAGAGCTGCCAGCAACCGCAGGTACTCCAAGATGATGTGAAACAATGAAAAAGGAAAGAGGAAAAAAAAAAAAGAAAACAAGGAACAAATGGGAATGAAAACGATGATCGTGTGTGGGTCAGAAAATATGCCTCCCCCCCTCCCCCCACCCTCCAGTTCAGAAGTTTGTGACGCTGTGACTCCGGTTGGCTTTCTTGCCGATGAGTCGATGGAGCCGTTCGTCGCGTAACGTCGTCGTCGTTGCCTTGACGATGCTCGGCAGTCCTTGAAGGCACATCGATGCCTCTTCCAGCTTCCTATGAATCCAAAAAAAGAAACACCGTCATCGTGTTGTGTCCAAAGTTACTGTTGTCTCCTTCCGACCCCACTGCCAAATTACGGTACTAAGTCATACTGAGCTGGCGAAGAAGCAATTTGCACAAAGACCTCCCAAGTCAGAAAGGTCAAACTCAAAAAGATATCTGCATAATAGCAGAACGTAGAACCACTACAGTCTAAGCTCGTTATAACAGACCTCGATTTTGAGCAAGATTTCAGTCTGTTGTGAGAGGAGTATGTTGTATGCAGATATGAAGTTGAGTCAGTGGTAAGTAGAGGAAAACCAACTGAACTTCACAAATCAGTATGTTGTATCCAAATGTCTGTTGCCACACGGTCTGTTGTAATGAGCTTAGACAGTATACAAACTACGCTTCAGATTAGCGACACTAGCCATCTTGGGGCTCAAAATCATTGTTGCCAGCTGTCTGAAACCCTATCTGAAATCGCAAGAAAATGTTTTCAGTCCACTAAGAGCAGTCCGCGACAGAGCAAAACGTTATCGCCTGAGCTTCCTGATGTCGTATTTAAAGTTCAGGAAGTCACATTTTCTAACTGTACCAATCGCATATTGCGCCCGGTCTACACAGGGCACCCACAGGAAAATCTGGGAGTAGAGTGGCGGTACCCTAAGCGTAGCGTATTTAGTGGCTCTAGACAAACTTCTCGTGCAGGACTCGTTTGTAAGGCCGCAACCTCCCCAAGACTGAATGCTCAGAAGTCCACCACATGTGCACGAAGTCAAATGTTGTTGCAAAAACTAAGTATTCGGGCAAACCTCGTTCAAATTCACATAATGTCCCGAAAGATGGCCCACCCCTCCTCAAATCGGAAGCCAAATGGGACTGGGCTAACCTCTGGCGTGTAACCCCCAATAAAATTATACAAGCTCGATCATGCTGACAAAGGCTGGTAAGCACAGAATGTGTGACGGGCCTTTCGAAGAAGAGGAGAAGGGCGTAGCGCGCAGCCGCTCCCTCGTGCCCAGCGCCAAAGACTTCGCTCTTGCCCGATCCGACCACCAGTCCTGGACTGCTCGGTCGGAAAAGCACTTGGCTCACGATCTTGAGGTGGCGAGTTAAAATACTGCCGGGGGTCTGAAGTCTTTTTATATGGTTCCCTATGGACGTAACGCTTTTCGGTGTCGGTTTTTCGTTACAGCTGGCTGTTACAGTCGGTCGCTAAAGCCGGCCGTTACAGCCAAACGTTACAGAGCTCCAGAAAAATAGGCTGATAAAACACATTCTGCGTTAAAAGAGCCAAGAAGGAGTGCCCAACTTGGTTCCTCATCCATTCGGGCCAATATTAGCTGCCCTAGACCAGGGATGTGCAAAAGGGAGGTCTTGACACTATGTGTGAGGACTCGCAAGGGGGAGACTTTCAGGAAGCTGAGTCACTGTTAAGTACAATACGAGTGGATTGGGATAGGGAAGGGGGTCGCAAGATGGTGTTGGGGTATTTTAGGGATCTCGAGACTGAAAAGTTTGCACACCCCTACCCTAGACCACGCCACAAACATCATAATAGTTGAAAGGTGAAGGAAGGACCTGGGTTGTATTCGGCTGCCTTTTAAGCTGTAAAAGGGACGGGTGCTATTGCTGTCTAAAGTCGTACAATCTACCCTGTTGGAGAAATCACCCGAACCGAGGCCACACAATTTCTAGGGTGGGTTATCTTTCAGCGCTTTCTGAAAAAGATGAAATTGGACAGAGGCTATCTCTTGGCACGAACCATCTCTCACTATATTACAGCAGTTGCCAACCAAGCACAGAGAGCAGCAGAGTAGCAAGGGATGAGTCAAACACTACTCCTTCCGTACAACAGTACATTCTGCGAAGATGCAAGCTCAAGACGAAGTTGAGAGGCTCAGTTCGTACCTTGAGAGCAGTTCGTTCTTGAAGCGCTCCGCATTGAGCTCCTTGCGGAGCTGGGCACGTGACTTGCGGCCGTGGGGGACCAACGCCGGGTGATGCAGCAGGGAGCACGCCGACGGACGCTTCTCCGCTGCCTTTTGGGTCATCTCCTGCACACACACATACTCACTCAATCAATCAACCAATCAATGAATCCTGCATGCACACAGAGGACAGAAAAGGCAGCTCACGTGAGACTGTCACCAGACGTGTTATGGAAACACTCAAAGCAGCAGTTCTAATCGCAATGGTGTGAACGGGTTCAGTGCCCCCCCCCCCCCCCCCCCCCCCCCGTTTTAAAGGCGGACCTCCAAATATTTTTCAACCACGGTAAGAATTCTCTTTGCCACCCTTCCCGTGTTTCCCCCTCTCCCACTCTAAAAACTTGACGGCGGGCGGAGGGAGGAAGATTCCTTTGGTTGCTGTATCTTGGGGCTAGATGAGCCCGGATAAGCCCCAAAATGCAGCAACAAAAGGAGTGTCCCCCCTTGCTGTCAAGATAGCAGTGAGAGGGGGAAATGGGAAGGATGGCTAGAAGGATTTTCACCCTGGTTAAAAAATATTTTGCAGGTCGGCCTTTAACAATAACTCCACTTTCTGAGGCCCCCGCGACTCCCAGTGTGCGCATCACTCAACTAGATCTCTCTATGCAGACGCCCTACAGTCGTGGACAGAGTAAGCTAGAACACAGGGGACTCGTTTGGTTCCTCATGTTTTCGTGTCGGCTCGACTAAGTGACGGTATGTAGTGCATGTGTACACGTCTGCAGGCGAGGAGTCTGGCCACCGCCACCTTGCTGCTGATGCGAGTAGACCGTCCGATAGTCTAGCCTCGCTAAGGGCGGCACCCCAACTATTCCACCCACTTTGGCCAAACAAAGTTTACGGAGTGTGGCTGCTTGCAAACGTCTACAAGCAGTGCTAAGGAGACAAAAGCAAAATAGACACGGGGGTCTCGACAGCTGGAGTTTGGTCCGCTCCAAAATGTGGCTACGCTGGTTCCTGCCATAAATTAGGAAGTTTGCCATTGAAGTATGAATGACCGCTAACCTGGGACCTTTAATGAGCAGCACAAAGTAGTGATTACACGTATGGACACCGGTGCAGCAAAGCTAGTCCAGGTCTAAACGTAAAAGGGCAGGGATAGAACCCGAGATACCTGGGTTCTATGGCGCAAGCTTTAGCTCCACGTGCCCGTAGCTGCAATGAGATAGCCCGCTGGACCACCGAACACCCCAAGCGTGAACGAAGCACATGCAGAATCCCTCGGACTGAAGAACCTTCCTTTTAAAGCCACCGGGTGGAAGCAACGAGCGAGACGAGACTGGTGGTCTAAGTCAGAAAAAGGTGACTTTTCTTATTCTCGTCCTAGCTATTCGTAGAATGCAAGGCGTGCAGGTGCCCGGTCAGAAGGAGGCACTTCCACCGCATGAATTGTAATTTATAGACATAGGTTAGCCGTCGAAACTAGAAGCACTGGCTAGGTGGCAGAAGGTGCTACCCGACTGAAAGGGTTCAGTCGTACCCATCCATCCGCTGCAGCAGTGCGCTTTCCAGTTTGTTTCAACCACAACCTAAGGCATACTCAGAAACCCGAGACTGTGGCAAGTTAACGCGACAAGAACGAAACTGCATGAAGGAGTTTCGGAACAAGTGTCCTTTGTGGAGTTCAGCAGTGACTGTTACTGTTAAGTGACACAATGTTGATTTTATGTCTACAACCTTCTAACAATGGTGTCTTAATATTTTCTTGCGCTCGTTTCCTGGACACTTGTTCCGAAACTCCTTCACGCAGTTTCGTTCTGCGCAAGAAAATATTAAGACACCATTGTTAGAAGGTTGTAGACATAAAATCAACATTGTGTCACTTAACAGTAACAGTCACTGCTGAACTCCACAAAGAAAGCTGCTACAAAACGAGCAGCCAGGTAAACATTGCAAACAGTTGTTGAGTCGCAAAGTTCCAGCATTTTTTATGTCAAAACGTGTTCCCGGTAAAGGCTCGTAAAAACTCACGAGCAGCAGGTTGTTGAACTCGGGCGAGCAGTGGTCGAGGTAGGGAAGTCGTCCCTTGCGTATGTTGGTCCACTCTTGCCCGTTCTTGGGCAGAGGACCCCCTCCAGCCTGGAGGGAGGGAGAGAAAGAAAGAGACACATCAGTTTAAGCTGTACACGAGATACGCACAGTGCAGTCTACGACAACTGTTGAAACAAACAAACTCCAGCATGTGCCCTAATCACGAAAAGAGCCCTCGCCGGTGCTAGAAAAGCAGACATCCGTCATGCAGATTTTCACCATTTATACTGAATACTATAATTCGCGACAAGCTGAGACAATAAGTAGGGCCGAACGCACGTGCTACATGTAAACGAGCATACCGTAAAATCCCAAAAGGGCACCCACACCCGATTGATGGCCCACCCCCCTTTGTTGCGCAAATATCTATTTCAGTAACTTTGCCGATACATCGTCCATCCTCCAGAAATAGCGATTCCCACAAGTAAACAACGCACAAGTAGATTTCCTTTTTTTTTCTCTTGAAAGCCCCATTTTTTTGACAAAGGGAAGAGGTCACATTTTTGTGGACTAGAGCTGTAAGGAACCTGACTAAGGTTCAAGGTTACTCTTTTGGTGCCCCCGCTTTCGATTATCCGAATTGGTAACCCTAAAGGAAAACTAGGTTGGAGTGACCTGGCCATCATTCCTCGATTAGCCAGTGAATTGTAAAGACGTTTCTTCTGCGGTTCCAGGGTGAGGTCCAACTACACCATCCAGAACAAGGTGGACATTGTGGAGTGGCACCGCAAGAACGGAACCAATGTGAGCAAGACTGCACGCCACTTCGAAGTTGACAGAAAGCGTGTACGGGAATGGAACATGAAATACCAAGTGCTTGTGCAGCAGTGCCATGGAAAGACCAAGATGAGAAGAACAATGGTACTAGAAGACCCGTTTTCAGTGAAGAAACTGACGACGCATTGATGGACTTCCTGGAGACTAAGAGATCAGCCGGTCGAGCCGTCAGCAACCCCGAGAGCATGCGCGACAGCTAGCAACGCAAGGTGGGTCTGGACAACTTTCAAGCATCGTGCCAGTACATCGCTTGCTGGTAAAAGCGCTACGAAGTGTCCATGCGGGTTGGGACAAACGAATGTCAAAAGCTGCCTGCTGACTACGCTGAAGCGATTGCGCTCTTCCGAAAGGCTGTTTCGACTCATTGCCGGAAGCATGATTATACGGATTACAACGCTGCCAATATGGAACAGAATATGGTGTGAATGGTCTGCCCAGCAACAAGAAAGAAACAACGCCACCGACACCTCAACAATCCGAATCACCAACACCTGCTGTGCCTGGCGAAGAATGACCGTGGCTTTGCGTGCAACGGCAGCGGGAGTCGAGCTTCCAGCGATGATCGTGCTTAAAGAGCCAACAGGTCGTATACCCCCGAGCACACTATTTGCACTCAAGATTCCAGGTATGTTGTGTTTAAACTTCTTCTGCCATAGATATAGGCAGCTACACGCTTATAACTACGCAAGACAAAAACTATAAGACCGCCCCACCGTAAACTGCCCCTTCAAACTTGAAAAAAAAAAAAAAAATCTGATTGTGGCGCGGTTAGTTAGTCTGGAGTCGCACCAATTTCGTCTTGCTCCGCCATAGCAGCAAAAGATGGCGCAGTCACCGCCCAATTTCAATGGCGAGGCAGTTAAGTACGCCCAGTGGGTAGGCCGCATTTATCCACCAATCATGTTTGAGGCCTGTTGCCTTTGTGCTTTCTTACGGCATGCACTCTCGTGAGTCAATCAGTTCGAAGTTGTCAATTAATTTTGCGCTGGTATTCTTTCCAGTAAATGTGCGGGTCACATCATCTGGAAACGGGTGGATGACCTTTCCCGTCTTACAAGAGTGGATACGCAGGGTCTGGGGACCGAACGTCGACGATGTGAGAAGGCTCCTCGTGCTGGATTAGGCGCCGATTCATAAAACTGAAGCTGCCTGAGAAGTTTTCTACGCCAGAGGCACAGATACAAGGCGGCGGCACATCAATACTGCAACCCGCCGACGTGTCGTGGATGAAACCGTTCAACAATGCGTTGCGTGAGCGTTGGGCCGTGTTCTTCCGGGCGGGCCAGCTGACCCCCAAGAAAAATTCAAAGAGGCCATCTAGGCAAAAGATCGGAGACTTTGTGGCGGAGGTGTGGACCTCTTTCTTCGAGGACACTGTGCGGCGGTCCTTCAAGAGGTGCGGCATTCCAACGAGCCTCGATGGAATGGAGGACGGTGAACTCAGTGACCGTTTGGCGTCGGTGGACGATGCGGCAGAGGCAGGACCCAGGGAACGCAAGAGCTTGGTGGACGAGGCCTTGGGCTTGATTTCTGACAGCGGCAGTGATGTTTCCTTCAACGGATTTAGTGACGAGGATTAGCGAGAATAAAGGCACAAAAAAATCTGCCATTTCTTGTATTTTTTGTGTTTTTTGGAGTTGACTACCCAAACAGCGCCCACCCTACTTTTTTGCTAAATTATCTCTGGCAAAAGGGGGGGAGCCCTTTCCGAATTTTACAGTATGCAAATGTTGCAATTTTTTTTTTGTCATTTTTTTTTTTTTTTTTTTTTTTTTTTATTTTGCTTTTTAGTTTTAATAATGATTTTGTGCAGACTGCCACATTTTTTTTTTCTTGTTAGCAGATATTTAAAAAATGGAATTTATCAAGGAAAATCAACACAAAACAATTACTTTAAAAACTGCTTCCAGCGGAAACATGCCATGTGTTGGACAGTCTGCAGATGGGCAAAAATCAAATTTCATCAGCGATTCCTTTCAGTGCGGCTCAAGAGGTGGCTCGTAGAGGTAGCAGCATATCAGACAAACTGGCATACGACATCCAAATTTGTCTGATCTCGTTCAGACCCGTCTAAACGCGTTCAAATTCGTCCAAACACATCCAGACTCGTCTTAACACGTCCAAATTCGTCTAGACGCGTCCAGACTTGTCTAGATGCGTCCAAACATGTCCAAATTCACCTAAACGTGTTCAAACGTGTTCAAACACCCGTTAAGCATTGTCAGTGACAGGTTAAGAATTTAGGAAAAACTCCTCCCACCTCTTTCCACTTCAGCAGAGTAAACACTGGAGAGGAGGCAGCCTCCTCTACAGCATTCGCACAGCTAAAGTGGAAAGGGGTGGGAGGCTTCCTCTGAGCCCTTAACCTGTCACTGACTATAATCCAAACTCCTCCATCTCATCTATAGCTCATCCAAACTCTCGACAGGTACAGGGTTTGCAGGCTTACCGCTTCAAAGACAGTGAGACCCAGGGCAAAAATGTCGGCCTTGGGCAAGTTGGAGTAATTCTCGCGAAGCACCTCCTTGGCAAGGTAGCGACAGTCGCCCTCTTCCACCTGGGGGTTCTTGCTGGAGGTCACGTGACCCAGGTCACCTGCGAGGACGGACAGAAGCCACCGTCAGTTTGTTGGTGGCAGTGCCAAATCTCTGAGGACACTGACAAGGCAAATGGCATTGTACACAGGCTGGCACTGCTTAAAGGGGCACTAAAGAGGATTCTGCAATCGTCTGTTCTTGGTCATAACTGATTCTACGGGCCCTAAGCATCCTAAAAATTCAAAAATCACAATCAAGCGAAGCCCATTTCTGTTAGAAACGTGATGAAAGGTCGGGACACACCGCTTTCTGAGCCGATTTTTACGCTCAGAAAAGGCGGGGCATACCCCAGCTGCGATGTCGGCGCGGTCACGATGGCGTTCGCCAGCCAATCACGAGCCGCGTCTCTCGGAGAGGCAGCTTGCGATTGAGAGGCGGCTTTCGCTTGTTTTGAGCCACGGAAATTTTAAGGAAATGCACAAGTTCAGATTCAACACAATTTGCATCGGATTACGTTGTCCCCTGCAACCGCAACCCGCCGTCAGTCAATGACAGAATGCACCGGCGACTTAAAATGGTGCATCCCAGATTGAAAACAGAGCACCACGGTAACCCAGCTCAATTAAGACAGAATGCGACGATGTCACAAACCCAGAAAGCGAGTTTTCCCAATTCGACCCCCTCCCACACCGTTACTCAGCGCGCAACGCCGTGCCAGTGTGAAACAAGTCCCGAAGCAAAGTCGGTTCGGCGTGGTCAGTGACGTTCACTACATTCGTCCCCAAAAAGAGAAGAAGAAGAAACTACCAAACGTACCAATCTTGTAGATTATCTCTTCATCTGGCGGTTTGTCGAGCCACTCGTCGAAGCCGTCGTCAGAGCCTTCCGGAATTACGGGATTGGCCACCCTCGACATGAAAATGTTGCCTGCAACGTAAATCGGTGACGCTTAGTCCCCGTTCGTTGCATTTCACACTGCACATTCCAATCCCTCCGAAATATAATCTAAGCGCATAGAAACCGTCTGCGTTCTAATCGGAACCATGCAATCGGGCCGCAAGCGCCGACCCCGAAATAGTGTGCACACCGCAAGTAGGTGCAAAATGTTCGGAACTTTCTAATATTTGTCTACAGTGCAATCCACTTACAACGATACCAGATATAACAAAGTACTGCTTATAAAGATCAGTTTCTAGACTTTCTAGACTAGAAACGATTAGTTTCTAGTTAAGATACAATGATGATCGGTAATAACGATTGAATTTTCTTGTTTTCTCATCATCGTTATAAGGCAATCGCGCTGTATTTGAGTCGGCGTTCGAATTCTCAAACACCGAATCAAATGTTCAGCGGAAATGAGGATCTCATCTCAAAACCCTCTACTCACAAAGCCTTCCCACATAAAAGAAGCAATAATAATCTCTGAAGAAGGGGAACAAGGGGGATAAAGGACAAATGCTAATCTTTAAACACAGCTAGGCTGGTGCGTGCTGAAAGAAATCTGCCTGGTCCTGGTGTCGAACCAGGGACCTCTTCATATCCAGTAAAGCGCTCTACCAGTCACCTAGCTGTGTTTGAGTTTTGGTGTTTGTCGTTTGCCCCCTTGTTCCCCTTTTCCAGGGACCATTGTTGTTTATTCTGTCCAGCTCGCCTGCACCTTCGCATTAATTGCATTAACAGAACATAGAAGTTTAGAACTGAGTCGACGCACGCTACAACCAGTTTTCACTGTTCTACATCGCTCAAAGGTTGCCATCAATTCTACCGGCATTGCAGAATGTGCGCACACAAAGTAGAAACTTGGAGAGTGTAGAACTTGGTAATCAACGCCGACTCGCATGAACAAACCGTAAAAGAGTGGCACACAAAGAAACGCTCAAAGTGAACGATCGAGAATAGGCATGTCACAAACTCTCGTCAAACTTGCGATTCTACTGGTTTGGCAAACTTTCTAAGCTTTGACAGAGTTCAACGGAGATTGACTTCTTCCACACCAATGCCGAGCTTCGATTGGTTCCGACTGACCTTAAAGAAAGCTGCGTTAAGGTCTAGCCACTACCCTTCAATCAGAGCCAATCAGAGCTCGGCGTTTTTCTGACGTCACCACAACCCCTGCAAAAGAAGCAGACGAACTTGCGCTCCGTATTGTCCAACTTTCTTCGAGTTTGGCGTTAAAAGTTAGAAAAGGTCTAACCTGGTTGAACTCGAACCTGCAAAACCTGAACCTGTTGAACTCATAATTCTGCGGGTTTGCAACATCCCTGATTTGGAGTGCTACCGGAGAGAGCGCAGCAGACGAAATGTTGCCTACCTGGCTTGATGTCCATGTGGACGAGGTTCTGTGAGTGGAAGTACATGAGCCCCTCTGCGACATGTAGGAGGATGCGCTTGAGCTCCGGCTCCGGGAAGCGCTCACCCGCAAGCTCGTGGCGCTGGATGGCGTCGGCCAAGCTACCCTCTGCACGGACAGTCGCATCACAGCAAAGCGCATCACACTCTCACTCACACACACACACCCTACGACAGGGGTGTGGTCCCAAGAAACCCCAAACCACTTTGGCATTCTCGTAGCACAGGACAACTCACAAGCTCACCGACTTTGTTAAAGGGGCCCTCCAACAGTATTTGATCGTCAACTTTTTTTTGCGGTTTCTACAAGCTAGTGGTCCCGGAAACCCAGTGGACAACGAAAGAGTTTAAAAATATCAGCGCATCATATTTTAATTTGACTACCCGGAAACACTTCCTCCAACGGAGGTGCCGAATGCGCGCGCAAAACGGCGTCCCTTTCACTATACGTCACATTCTCTGGGTTTCGTGATTGGCGAGAGCCGTCCCAGGAATTTTGAAGCGAAATAAAGTATATCACACGTTATCCGTCATTATTTTTCAAACAAGTCATTTTTGCAGAGCTAATAAAGTTACAAAATAAATTTCAAAAAGGGCGAAAACAACGCCTCACCGCTCATGCGCACCTCCCAGCGGCGTCCGCGACGTACCATCGCGAGCAGACGACAAGTGATTCGTGCGGACAACGCGCATCGTATTTTCACTTGTGCGCCCCCGGTCCCGGTCAACTAAAAGCAGTAAGAGGAGCCAGGGGAACCCTTATTTTCGTTTAGTGCTGTGACAGACTTTTCACTGTTCGAGTGAAGTGCGGCGACGCTCCCCAGTTTGTACCTCCTACTCGCCGAGGTGGCTCCGGTGGCGGAGTTGCGGGAGACGAGTCTTCAGCGGCTGTTGAAGCGGACTGAGGCAGAGACGCGGCGCTTGCGTAGAGTGTCTTCGTGCGGCGCGACGCCCAGATCCGCCCTCAAAATCCGATAAGCCCGGTAAATTCATCGATGATGGCAACCCGGTCCCAATGCTACGATGGTTGCAACTAGGCCTAATGGCCGACGAGCCGACCGGGCCGACGGGCTATCAACCACACTCGCGTCCAATTGGCCAACCGCTTTGCTCCAATCGCTAAACTGTTTCATTTTACGTCATGAAGCACAATGTTTTGCTTATTAAAAGTTGTTTTCTGCAATATTTAATTTGCTAATAACTCGCAAAATATTGCGAATTTCTGTAATATTTTTTCCCCTCGGTGTTTCCGCTTTCATGGAGCTCCGTTTCAGCGCGAACTTCAAACCGGTCAAAAAATTGGTGGTGGGCCCCTTTAAGCAGGGACACTACCAGGGCATCTCTACTTTTGAACTGCTCACTCAATCGGCATGAAATTTGGAGAAGGAGGGCATGCAAAGTTTCAGCCCTGTGAACTAATTTTATGAGGTACTATACCCCCAGAACGTAGCTTTGTATGGAATCTGCACAATGAATCTATCGTTGAGAAATGGTGTTGATCACTACATATTTTTCTGGTGGAATACATACTGGAAAACTGGTAGCCGGTTACTATGAAAATAAATTTTTAAAAAACATGCATTTTTCAAATAAAAAAAAAATTATGAGTGTTTTTGTTTCTTTTTACGTTTGCCAAGTTTTTGTAGATTACAATTTTTCATAATAATAAAGGAACATGAAAACGCAAAATCTAAGTTCATAGTAACCAGTTCGATAAATTTTCGGCATATAATCTGCAAATATTAAGTCTCTCGGTAGTTTCATACTGAAACAATAGTTTTATTAAGGTGGGATTTGCTCCCAAAAGTGAAGCTGGGATCAAAGCAGTTGAAGTTTCAAGATGGTGTTTTAAAAATTTATTTTTGCATCTTAAATGTCAGAAATTCTTTCCAGCAGTGTAGGTGATGTCTTCCTCAGACGTCTTCTGAAATACTGACATTGCTTTCAGCTATTTTCACTTATGGATGACGAGTGCTATGCAGTGCAGCACACCTCACCAACATATAAAGAATAATTATTTTTGATATTGTTTGTCAGTGCACATTGACAAGACTTTGTGAGAGTGTTCCTTGTTATCCATACATGCCAAAACTCTGCAGTTCTGAATATGAATTTTTTTTTTAAAAAAGGTGCAATTCAAGGCAGTGTCTTCCCTTAAAGGGAAACCGAAGCGATTCTGCAATTCAGTGTTGCCAGTACAGTGTCCCAGCCTCTCCAAACTAAATTTAAAGAACTCCAAGAACACTGAAGAAAAAATATTCTTGTGATTCAATTTGTGTTAAAAAAAAACACTGAAAAGGAAAACAAAATTTTTTAACAACCTGAAAAAATTACAATTATTACAAAATAAACTTTCCACAAAAAAAAAATATTTTTAAAGTTATTTCCAGCGGTAATTCGTTTTAGTTTATAGCTTTCAAACGCACGCACCAGAAATGGGTACATAACGTCACCATCACGTCACCACATGTACACACCAAAGTGGAAAGGAGCAGCACAGAGGTGCACTGAAGGAGGGTGACCAATGAGAACGCTGGCCTTGGAGTGTACATGAGGTGTGTGATGGGGATGTTATGTACCCATCTCTGGCGCGTGCATTCGAGAGCTACAAACTAAAACAAGTCTAGCGCTGTAAATAATTTAACAAAAAAAAAAAAGTTTTGAGGAAATTTTTTTTTTTTAATTTGTGAAATTTTGTTTAAGTTGTTTTTTTACATTTCTTTTTTTTTATATATATATATAGTTTTAGTTTGTTTATTAATGAGCTGAACCAATGCTGAGGCAAGTCAGCATTTACCGAAATTTCGCCGGAGGGTTTGAGCGAGCAGTAGCTTTTTGAGACATACAGTGTGGCGAGCAGACGTGGGCGAGCGAGCCACAAAAAGCACTCACCGTTGCAGAACTCGTTCTGTATGATCATGTGGTCTTCCTCCGCCCACGCCGAGTAGTAGCGGACGACGTGGGGATGCTGGCCAAGGACCGCATGCGCGTACACTTCGTTCAGCGCCGTCTTCCTGCACGCCGGGAGGAGAACGCTCGCTCAACAACGGTCGCCCTGGTCCCGCCCTCTTGTCGCCCCATACAGCTGCGGTCGCACCGTTCGTACGTCGTACAAAAGACGGGGCATTTCGCCGCAGACGCGGTACAAAAGCAAATGTATGGCACCTTTAATCCTTTAGTTAGCTTTCTAATATGGAACAACGGACAATATACCCAACAAATAGTGCACCCCTTTTCCACCAGGCGGCTTCGGCTTGTTCTCAAATTTCCGCGCAAGCGCACATAAATCTAACTTCATTCAGGCTTTTGTGAAACTTTGCGTCGGATGTCTGAAAAAGTCGAACCTGGTACAGCACTAACCCCGGGGGCTCGCGAAGTCCCCAGTGCCGCCACGTTCGACACTGCCACACAAACGCACTCAGACCAAGTCTCAAGTTCGAGACTCAAGCGTCAAGTTCAGAGGCTAAATTAAAGCAAACCCAAATGTTGCAAAAAGAAAAAAAACTAGGCGTAGGTTTTTTGTGTTTTTGTTAACTGAAGAAGGGCTTGTGTCTGTCTTGTCTTTCTTTGGTCCTCGTCTAAATAGCGCTACCATTCCTTTGGCAACCCAAGACCAATACCAACTAGCTCAGCATTCAGCATATTGAAGAAGGGGTTGCAAGCCGGCAACTTACTCGTCCTGGGTGCCGCGTATGGGCTTTCGGGACTTCTTGATGGCATAGACGCAGCCGTCGAGCCTGTTGATGCACTTGTACACACTGCCAAACTCCCCGGACCCCACCTGACACAGCTCCAAAAACTCCGCCTCGTAGCGCGAAGAACCGGGCTCGGCCGCCGGCGTGATACGCTGCAGCTGCGGAGATTTCAAACAAGAGAAAGGAAAGGAATGTTAGACCCGTGGGAACGCTCTTTCCTTTTCTATTGGGAGGAAGTGTTTCTCACTTTAGACAAGTTTACTGACACTGGTGAACCGGAGCATGCTATGCAACGCTATCGACCAACAACTTTCTTCGTTGCCACACAATTTCAAGGATAAAAGTAAACTTTTTTTTTTCAGTCTTTTGTTTGCAAAACTTTACTGTCCCTGTAAATAAATGTTCTCCTTTTTTTTTTTTTTTTTTTTTTTTTCTGGGAAGTGTTTAGATACGACAGGTTTGTCACAAAATAAGCATTCCACGAAAAAATATACATTTATCGCAATATTGATGTTGCGAGACATTCGGAGTTAGAGGCGATTTTGATATTTCGACACGTCGTCCCAAAATAGAATTGTTTTTCGGAATCCTTATTGAAACACACGAATTCCTCAAAAATACTTTTTAAGTGCCCAGGTGTTTGACACACATCAAAAACTAAACTTTCCTCTGCTAAGAAAAAAAAATTACGTCTGGCACAATTTTTACATTGCGACGCCTATTCTGAGTGAGGAAAGAATTCGAAATGTGCTTCTATTTCACTGGCATATAGGTTCTATTCAAGCACGTTTAAAAAAAAAGGGGGGGGGGGGGCAGTTTGGTGCCTCTTAATGATAATGTACCTTTAAAAAATGTCAGAAACACAACAGAGCGCATGGTTCTCCCCTTCATTCCATTCTAAGCAAATTCAAAGCTTTCCGAGATACTGACCTTCGAAAACCTTTCCTCCTCCCAGTCCTCTTGATCCTCACAGATGTCGGAAACGTCCAGCGACGATCCATTTTGGGGAGTCCTGCAACATGGAGAAGCACTCACAGTTACCAACTGCCAAAAATAAAATGTTGCAAATACGAGCAAATCCTGAAAACCTAATATCAACCAGTGTGTTGAAGGGCTCTGCTAGTACTAATTGTAAATTGTTTTTTTTTTATGCACATCTTGCTTATCCATTACCATAGAATGTGCAGCATACCTTTCGTGCTCTGTTTTTCTCCCAGTGAAAGCCACTATCATACAAATTATTAAGAAAACAAATAAAGCCACCAAATTCTAAAAAGGCGAGGTACTCGAGTAATGCCTTCAAATTATTTTTTTCACAAAGCATAGCATATTAATTACATGAATACCCATAGATTATTCCTGAATCTTCACAAGCATTTTGACATTTTCTCTGTATTATTATCGATCATTATCTTCTTCACCCCCCCCCCCCCCCCCATAAACATCAATAACCTTGATTGGAACCCATTTTTTTTTTTTTTCGTAATCTTCAGATTGTCTACTGGCTCGATTATCAGAACACAGGAAAAACCTCAAACATCTCGTAAACAGCAGTTAAAATAAACCTCGTCCAACGTCCAAATCAAAATTCGGATATAAAAAAAAAGGGGGGGGGGGGGGGGGGGGGGACCAACCAAGGTCAATACATTCCATCACGGCTCCGCGCAACAGGCAGCGGTTAGCCTTCGCGCAATATGTTGTTATCGCAACTTTTTTTATTTTTTACATTTCGTTCTTTCATCCCCCCCCCCCCCCCTTTTCCCCCTCGCAGGTAAGCAAAGGTGAGCAGCTGCCGCGCTAGTTGCAAACGGTTCCGCTAGATGACTCTGGCGAAAGCAAAACCCGCCGGACCATATAGCAGACGACACATCTGCCCTCAGACGGCGCGTGCCGGCACACTCGGCTTTTATATCTATGTATTTATATATTCCCACTTCCTCGTTAGAGAAGGGCCTCGGCGAGAAGGGCGAATGGGAGAAGGGGGAGGGGGCAGAGGACAGAACTTGAAGACCGTTACGCATTGTCAAACAACCAAAAAAGAAAAGAAAAAAAGGTCGGGCGAGTTAAGAACCCGGGCTCTCCTTTATTGTACCATGCCTAACGGTCTAAACACTTGCCCTTTCCCTCTTAGAAGGCCTCCTTTCTCAAACCGCAGATAGAGCGTGCGCGAAAAGGTATATCGTCTGCTTCGTAAAGTCGGCGGCGAGTAAAAGAAAAAAAAAAAAAATAGCAGACGACAGCCGGCCGCCTAACGCAAGCCATTCTAACGGACGAAGTCGTGCGCGACTGATGCTTGTATCAGGGGGACGGCCGGTGTAAGCAACTGTAACGGTCTAATCCGCTGATTAAGATGGACGCAGGTAAGCGGTTGGCTATTATCGAAATATGTACGACTGAGAAGTGCGCACTGAAGCAACTGAACTATGTACATTCGGCACGCGCAGACGGTCATAAAGCGGGCAAGTTCAAAAGAGGAGATACGGGTTTGCTTATGGAACGCCAAAAAAATGTGAGTTATTTTTTCTTCCGCGTTTTACGGCAAATTTAATGAAGCGGGATGCCCGTAATTCGGAAATTAAATAAATACATACTACGAATTCAAAAAGAAAGCTAGCAAAAGTATGTTTATCCAAAACAACCCTAAACAAATCATGGTGTACAAAAAAAGTGTTCGTAGAAATACGGAAAGGTCGTCTGCAACCAATGTAAGAAGCCAAAAGGGGGAAAAGAGCAGACGACAGACGCCAAGCGTAAACGACTGTAACGGACGCGCTCATGCGGCGACGACATTTGGTAGACATGGCCACGACTTGACTCGCTCATCGGAAGTCGACGCTAACGGAACGCCAGGCGGCAGAACCGTTCGCTAAACTCAAAACCTGCGCCGTTAGGATTGCGGCCTCATGCAGGATTCCGGTTTCGTGTCTGAATCCAAATATAAACACAACGGTCTGTAGCCCCCGACTACAACGAATCAGGGAAAACAGAAATTTCTTTTTCTAGGTAGGCGTAGTAAATTAATCTTTCGGTTTGTTTGCTAGCTGATACGGTTCATAATCCATATACCGAGTGTTTAGCGAGTGCTTGGGAGAAAAGGGACACGTGTTGTTCTCGCCGCAATAATAAACGACGCATCGCCGGGCGCTCAGAGTGTACGAAGTTTTAGAACTAACCGTCATCTCACTAACAGAAAAAAAAAAAAAAAACAGATTTTTGAAAATGTTTAATTACACAATGGCGTCTGCTATACTGCTACTGTACCCCCTTTTTTTTTTTTTATCTCATTTAAAATTTCCGAAAATCACTTTGGCGCAGACTGAGAAGAGTTCGGCTACGCGCCGTTTATTCTCGCGGCGACAAAAAATAACGGAAAAGGAGGGGAGGGGGGGGGGGGGGGGGGGGTCTTGTACTTTAAAAACATGCAAAGTTAAGTAAAATTTTAAAAACTTAATCCCCTAAATGTTCTCACTGGGTAAGCCGATTTCATAACTGAAGTGCGCAGACCTCATTGGTTCGAACGACGACTACCCAACAACCAATGCATTATAATTACGTGATTTCTCTCAATTTCTTTTAACTGACAAGAAAACGTTGGCGTGTCGTATGGGTTTGCTCCGGCGCTTGCGCAATATTGTAGCCTTTTGCTTGTATCCAGCAGTTTGGCCAATTCATCTGAGAAAATTATGTTACCAAACTTTATTGTTTTTCTTGTTCAAGGGTGTGTTGCTTTTGGCTTTTGTGTATACTTGCAGAGCGTGCATATGCCCTCTCCCATCATAGTTCTATGAGGCACTGATAGTATTTTAAAATAAATAAATAATCCAGTGTTATCTCTTTTCATGTATTTAGTGAATATTTATCTAAAATTAAGAATATCGTAAGTGGATCGGTCTCGTTGGCTAAATGAAGGGGCACGGAAATCTGGATATGCGAATAAAAAACGCTCGGCTGATACGCTCTCAAACTCCAGGCGCCGTGCCTTTTGATATCACAAACCCGAAGACCGCATCCGACAAATCCAGATTAAAGCTGAGGCGGAAAATACGCCAGGACAAAGCGCTATCGTAACCCCAACCCCCCTCCCTTCCCCCACACTCTCTGCCTCGGCAGCATCTCAAGTTCAAGATTACATTAGAAGCAGGAAAAATACTGTGACCAAGACGGAGCACTGAAACGCGACAAAGAACAACGTATTCAGTTCGAGAAACAGCCGTTTCTTACAACCTCCCACCGAGAAGAACTAAAGTCTCGTCAACGCCTCGTACAAAAACCCGACAGCTTCTCCAGACTGTTGACAAAACGCCGGGGGTTGTTGACAGCGGGCAGACACAACCGAAGCGCAACTCAGCTGTGCGTCCATTGTACACACTTCCTGGAGGGCGTACAACAATGGCGGCGACCGCCGGCGAGAGCGCCACCTGGCAAACAACGAAAACCCAGCCGGCCAGCGGCACCCCTCTCTCCAGCCGTTTCTTCGGCTCCGCAGCGCGGAGCTAGCAGACGACACGCCGAGGAGCAGACGACGCACGTTCGTTGGTTCAAGCTGGAACCCGAATAGCGGTCTAGAACGGCCAACGGACGGTGTCGGAGAGCAAACTACGGTCCACCGGATACAGATGGCGCGCGACACCGACCTCCAACGTTTACACTCGAAAACATACCGACCGATACGGCGCCCCCTCCCCCTCTCACCTGGTCGGTAGAGAGCCAATGCTGATAGAGTACGGAATAGCGACACACACGTGGATCGATAACCACTAGTCTATCGGCGTTCCAGACCTGTCAACTCCCAAGTGCCCATTTTCAACACTCGCTTCAATGGCAGGCCCCCCGCAGGAGCAGCTTTTTCTTGAGTAGTCTCTATCCAGAACTTTAAGACAAAGGAATTCCGATGGCCAATAACGGCCGCCAGATTTCTCGCCGACTTTTTGTCGACACCATTGTCGTTCCCCAATAAACCTTTGTTTTTCCTTATTTTATCGCTGTATCTTTCGAGGTGTAGTAATCTGACATAAAGTAACATGATGTGATAAAGTCAGCCCCCCCAAAAAAGCTATTGCCGGCTTTCTATTTTCTTTTTTTCTTAAAATTGGGTGGCTGGTGTTGAGGAAAGTGTTCGCTGGGGACACCAACCTAAGCGGTAAAATGGGATAAAATGTAAAGAAACGCCGGTGCCGTGTTCGCGCTAACTGTGTCGCGCACTGTATACATGGCACAAATATTACACAAAATCTAAACGAGCAAATTGCGAATTGTCAGCTCAATTTTCGTTTTTTCTTCGTATATTAAATTATATTTGCGTACATCACTTTTTTTTTCTTTTTTTTTTTTTTTTTTAAAGACAGAACCATAGCAAACACCCACCAGAAAAAACACACCAAACGGAGGATGCTATTTGAAAACAGTTTTCAACGTTCAAAACTGTTCCCGCCAAGCCCCGCGTGTTTCAAACAGAGCCACAACGCTACAAAACGAGAGAAAAAAAAAATATTGACGGCTTTTCTTCACATTTGGTAGCACTGAGTGGCCTGCACCCTCATCTCTCGCGGCCGCCTCCCAAGTCCAAAATGATCCACCTGGTTCGGCAGCGACGCCTTCTCAAGTGAGCGGTTCCCCAAAAACTCCCTACCGAATCAAGTATCTCCTCTCTCTCTCTTTCTTTTTTTATGTTGCAACTAGAACACGTGTGGGCACGTGGCAGATTGCAACCGAAAAGCCGCCGCCGCCACGCGCTAAGCGTGCTTCGGTATCGTCCCTTTTCATCGACAACAAACTCTGACGCGCCTGTTGTCGAACGGCCAACTTTAGCGCCAAGACGCGTACATCACGGCTCTCTCTGGAGTTCGCTTGATATACGATTTCAGCGTATCCTTTCCACATACGGGCTCCGACTGCAAATTTTGTTTTCTTTTTTTTTTACATCCACCGCAGTCACGATTTTCATACATTTCGCCGCGGTATATATAAAACGAAACAAAGACAAAAAGAAAACGTTCGTGACTCTCTCCTTTCAACGTCTGAACGAATTTACAAGCTAGAGCGAGAAAGCAGAGACGGAAGCGCGATGGGCCAAATCGACGCGGTATCGTGCACTCTTTACGATCTCCGCCAGGTGGAACCGTCACTGTGCAGAAAAGGCACAAATGATAGGATCGCCGCCGAGTTTCGTGCGCTATGTTGCCATGGTTATACGGCCGTATTGTTGGCGAGCCACGCCACCCCCCTTTTGACGCGTGCGATCCACCACCAGCAGTTGCTTTGGGAATGGAGACAGGCAAATCGGTCTTGAGAAGGAATCAGCCGACAAAAACCGTTAGCAGACAACCATCCCAAAGCCTCAACGTTGCAGACGCTCGCTGCGCGACTGACGAGTGAAACCGAGCACATAAAAAGACTTCTAGGAAAGATACACACTGCGGAGACGTGAGAGATACAGCTTTGGAAGACAAAATATATATATAAAAAAACTGCTTTAAAAGAGAGAAGAACGCGTTCATTTTTTCCCGCTGTAGACGAAAGGAAGATAGCAGATGTAGCAGACGACAGCGCGCGCACAAAAGCAGACGTGTGCGGATGCACCTGCCGACCCGGCTGTCAGTTCGCGAGCGAGTTCCGAGTTTCGTTTTGTGAAAAAAAAGCAACCTGTCGCGTCATACGAGACGACGAGCAAGTGGTGGTCTGACAAATAATGGTTGCGCAAGCACAGCTGCGCCCGTGTACCTACTGCGAGAGATAGAAGCGGGAGGAGAGATAGTGCAGCGAACGCGGCAGGTGTGCCGTGGTACCACAAGTTCCACAGCAACCTGCAGCGAGTAGCGCACTTTATTTTGGTTACTTCGCTATATGTGCGGGCGAGCCCATCATCACGAAGACCGATGGCGTGTCAGGTAGTCAAGCGAAATCGGAAAGCCACGAGAACAAGCAGGGACTTCGATGACAATAGGCAGTTCCAGAATAGCGCACGTACGCAAAGAATAGCGTCGTCGCCACTACGCATGCGCCGAACGCTAACCACGTTTAGCGCTTTGCGTGCGCCAGTTTAGCGTACGCTATTTTTCGGAAATTGCGTGCGTACGCAAAGTGTCTTTAGGGAGTTTTCGTAGACCGCGTTTCCGCTTCCGCTAAGCCCTCCGCAACGAAGTAGCCGCTACTGCGCCTGCGCGCCGATGGCCTTGACTGTAGAGTTCCGGCTAGCGTAGCGGGTTGCGGAGAGCCGTTGCGGGACAGCGGAAACGATCTACGAAAACTCCCTTTTGCCAATGTCAAAGCCAAGACGAGCACAGTCAAAAAATGGCGGCTCCCAGGATCGCGGCTATGGTGCCTGGAACGCGTCTCCGACTAGTGTGTTCACCGCGGCCAAAAAAGTGCTCCCTCGATTTCCGCCTGATGACGTCATAAAAGTGTCGTGCTGTCGCCGGCAGTCATGGGCACGTTACTAGTAAAAAGTAACAGTGTTACAGTTAGTTACTGCAAAAACAGTAATAACGCAGTTAACTTCTCGCTACAGTACCGAAATTTGACACAAGGAATCACAGACCAAAACAATATTATTTTATTTGTTACACTATAAAGAGAAAAAAGGTAAACTGGGAAATTTGAAGAATTTACACCCGAAGGGTCTGTTTCTTTTTGGCGTCATTCGCCGTTTGAGCATACTGATGTCCATAATATATCTGCAATAATTGTTATCACTTAGAATCAACCATTTTTCAAAATTGTCATCGGCCCGCCTCAGTGAACATTTCTTGATTTATTTTTCACTCCGCAACGAAGGAGGACAGAGATGGTCACATAATTACTATATGGGATATACTCAGAAGCAGGCCTAAACATAGCAGGTTAAACATGCTTCCAAAGATTAAAGGGGGAAAGGAGACAATTAGCTTCCGGTGCTTTGCGAGTGTACAACGACCACCGTGGCGTCTATGTCCGAAAGGCCAACTGTGGAAGTCGTACTTATAATGCAATTAAATGCAAAGGGGCGAGCGAGCTGGACAACAATGACGAAAGTAATCCCTGGAGAAGGGGAACCAGAGGGACAAAGGACAAACAAAAATCTCCAAACACAGCTAGGTGACTGGTGAGTGTTCGCTCAAGCGGCTCCGAAGAGAATGAATAAGTTAAACAAGCTCCGGCTTTCTGCACAATATGGGGACGGCTTCCTTGAAAACTACGAGGGATGAGGAAACGGCGAACGGCTGGGTGTAAAAACGACAGCACGGACATATCCCAGACACAGGCCAGACGTGGGCTAAACCAGGCAATTTTTCGTTTGTTCAATGCGTGGCCACGCTTCTTCCTCTCCTTACTTTCTTTTGCTGGCAAGGTGTTTGGAGAAAAAATACTTCAATATGGCAATTTCTCCATGTCCGCATCCGATGGGTTTTGATTTATACAGTAAAAAAAAAAAAGGGTAACTGTAGCAGCCTAAACAGTTACAGTTACCCAATAAAAAAGTAACAGTGCTACAGTTACAAGTTACCAATATTAAAGAGTAACACGTTACAGTTAAACGTTACCGGAAAATGTAACTAATTACCAGTAACGCGTTACTAGTAACTAGTTACTGGCCAAGACTGGTCGCCGGTCGCGACCCTGGTGGTGTCTCAGCAGCTGTGGTGGAAATGGCAGACGCCTGTTCTGCTCCAGGTCGCTCTCCATGGTCGCATTTTCACATTTAAAGAAATCTGTGAAGCAATAAACTTGTTTGTTTGTTTCTCAATTTACAGCCTTTCGTGTGTAAAATAAAAAGTGTTACTGTATGTTTGTGGCGTCGCAAGCGGGAGATGCCGGGGCTTTTCCGTCGAGCAAACTGCGTTAACGCGAGCGCTAAATGTAGCGGTAGCGAGCGCTAAAATTCCGTAAGTTATCTTATGAGTCCCTAATGACGAGCGCCGCGATGACGAAACGCTAGCAGAACGCTGGAGAAAGGAATAGTATTTGGCTAGGTGGCGCATGTCACCGCCCGATTTCAAAGGAGACAGCAGTCACGCATGCTTCTATCCATCCAGGCTCGCGCCGACTCTTCAACGAATGTTGTGCAAACAAAGGGACAATCAATGGTTTACGCAAGTCAAAATTATGTTCTCTTTTTTTTTTTTTTTTTTTTTTTTTTTTCCTTTAAGCCGAGTTTGCTTATGCGAGATATGTCGAGGTCGATGACAGCAGCTCTGACACGAAACAGTTAAAAAAACAAAAAGAACGGTTGGGATTGATCGAGAAAATGAAAACCCGGCCGATTTTTCGGCACGCATATGAAAACTACCCATCGCAGGAAGCTGAAACTCCGTGAGAACGGGACGCTAGCGGTGGTGAGAAAATACGAAAGTGCGAGCACGTGACGTTACCTGGATCAAAAAGATACGAAAGAAAAACAAAAATCCCTTATGAGCCGCCGTTGAACGTTCATCAATCCGAAATTTTAGACTATGATCGCCTGTTGAATTTATATTAATATATATATATATATGACTCCGGCAAAAAATGGTCCCCAGTGTCAAGTAAAAAAAAATAAAAAATGGTCCAGGGACAAGAAAAATTACTTTTCCCGTGAACCCCATTTTTTAAATGAAGAGTAACATAACAAATGTCCGCCGACACAGCAATCGCATTCTGGTATAGATTGCTGTAATAACTTTCTTTTTTTGTTTTGTTTTACTATATTAAAAAAAAAACACGGGGATGTACTTTTACACGCTGCAGTCACCGTGGAATAAATTTGTAAGCATTGCCAGACACAACCAAGAGGCCATCGAGGCCTCAGTGAAACCGACCGTGACCACAAAGATGTCCCAGGATCGAGTCGGAGCTCCTCCAGAGCAACTAAGCTTAAATGGTAAAACAAAATGGCCAGGTGGCGCAAGCTACCGCCCGATCCCAAGGGCTCAGTAGGATGCATCTATCCTACCATTCATCGGCGCCCTTCGAAATATCTGTGTTGCTCAAACCGCGTTCTTGAGAGAGAGAGAGTAAACTTTATTTTTGTACGCCTGGTCCGGCGCTCGCTGAAAAGGTTTTGCACTCTAAACAAAACAAAAAAAAAAAAAAACTCGCGAGTCCAGCGGCGCAAATCGGTGCCCCGCGAGAACGGGGATTCACCTGGTTGGACAGTTGCACGTTCAGAGACACTCGTATCAAACGCCGCCAGAAGCATCACGTTTGTTGTGATGCCGCCCAATTATAAAGTTTCTGCATGTACCGAGAATGTCGCGCAAGTGTGTGGAAATGAAGTGCATCTCCCTGTTGTTGTTTCAATTACAAAATAAACAAAAATGACAGCACATCAAACCAGAATGCACTTAGTGTGATGGGGAAGCTTGCGAGGTTATCTCCCGTTTCAAAACGAGTTCCGTGGGAATCCGTTTTTTTTTATGTTTTTTTTTTCTTCAACCAGCAAGTTTTTTTTTTCCAAAACCGTTATTTTATTTTATTTTTTATCGTTTGTTGGCGCGATGGGGGTGTTTTATCGGGTTGATTTCTGTTTCAATCTTTTCTCGTCTCTTGTTTACTTGCTGTTTCGTGCAGGAGCAAAATTTTTAACTGCCAGTCAGCGCTTTCTGTGTAGCTCAGGCATGATTTGTAAAAAAAAAAAAAAAAAAAAAAAAAAACAGGGCAACAAGACTAAAAATACGTTCAAGGAGCTTCAACTTACCTTTCGTCTTGTCGCGCTGTTTTTTTTTTTTTTTTAATTAAGTTGTGCAAATCGTGTCTGAGCTACAGTTAGTCGAAGTAGATCAAACAATAATAACGAACGACAAGAGCTTGCTGCCTCTGTAAAGTATAGCGGTGTTAGGGAAAGGGGGGGGGGGGGGGGGGGGACGCATTCCAGAGTACCTCTCATACCCGGCGGCGACACTGAAGACACCAACACGCGGGCAACACGACGCTACTTTCCAAGAGAGAAGGTTCCCGCCCTACGTCAGGACACCGGCACACCACCGTAACATCATCTTCGCGTGCCATATCGCATCCTGTAAGGTAAATCCAGGCCTCTACCCGACCAGAAGCAAGGACGGACGCCCATTGTGATTCGGACAAGACTATAATCGCCACCGGCATTTCCTATTCGATGGTTCGAACTCTGCGAACGCACAATGGCATTCCACAGATCCCAAGCAGCGAGCGAGAAAGGGTAATCGAACGAAAAAGATACGCCGAAACCCCCGCAGGGAGAGACACCCTCGGGTAGCAAAAAGCGCAGAACCGCGAGTTGGTCGGGATTCGAAGTTATCGCCTTTCATGTCAAAGCAAAAAGACCGCTGGAATCTACCAGTGATCGATAAGAGGGCTTCGATCAAACGGCTTTCGATAAAACGACATTCGATGAAATTACTTCGATGAAAACGATGAAACGGCGTTCGATGAAATATCCGGACCTAGTTATCGCGATAAAGATTAACGTGTTCCTTCTCATCTTTTTTTTTTTTTTCCTGCGTCTTTTTAATGAGGCTAAAAATGAGTCAGCGAAATCCGCGGCTCGCCCCAAACCAGCGACAGCAAGCGCCAAGCTCGCCCAAAATGCAAAAAGTATTAAAACAAAAAAGAAAAAGCGCCACCGTAGGTGCAAAGGTTTCTTTCTGGCTAAAAGTAACTAAAAATCTAAACACCAAAAATATACATGTATAAAAAAAAAAAAAAAAAAAAAAAAAACCTCAGGTGAAGAAATATCATCTCTGTTTCACCTTACGTCCGAGCGCAGCGGATGCTACGGACTCATCGAAGCCAATCCCAGGCCGCGTGTGGGTCACGTGACCTTGGAGAGGTGGCACAGCGACGCGCGGAAGGCGTATCACGGACTACGTACACACAGCGGGATTGGCTGGGATAGCTCGTACCATCCGCTGCGTCCCGACTTAGGGTGAAACGGAGATTATAGTTCGACACAGACCGAGGACTGAATAGCGCAGCCTCCACAGTGGCCTCGCCTCGACCCTCGTATCCGGGAAGCAGGCGACCGCGACGTAAGACCCTTCCCCACCAAAACGACAACAAAAAAAAAAAAGAAAGAAATTTAAACAAAAGGGGAGAAAAAAATGACCCCAGTTGGAAGAATCAAGATGGCAGTGAATCAGTTTCGCCCTGTTCACCACCTAGACGTGCGCGCATGACCAGACACCGTCTGCTTTCCGTCTGGAAGGCGAAAGCAGACGACAGGCCACCACCACGAAAGCAGACGAAAAGATGGACGCAACCAGCCAGCCCGTCGCACGGACTGGACCTAGTACCGACGGAATGCCCCAGCCACAGGTGAGTTTTACCTCAAAGTCCCCTATAATAAGTCACGGAATGGGTAAGAACGGCAAGCGCGAACTTAGCGCTGGATGCAGGACACCTCTGCCGTTCTAACCCTGCCAATGACTATAGTACTGCAGCGTCTCGCGCAAGTAGGGACGGTTCGCGCGGACGACCCAGGGTGCACATAAACGCGGAGTCTCCAAGTTCGTTTTACAGCTGCACGCTGCGTTCGGCCCGAGAGTCCTGTACACTTCAGTCTACGCACTGTGTTCATTGGAACGGTGAGGACGCAGGGAGCGGGTTGTCGCTTTACATCGACGTACTTCTCGGGAAAACCTAGTCCAAGTTTTGGCCCGACCTGGCTATTCCTTGCCAGCTTATAAAAATTCCTTCGCAAATGTAAAAAAAAAAAAAAAACACAAAAAAACAACGATGCGGTGTGATGCCGCCTAGTCGGTGTGATGTTTGACGTAGTTACATTCGATTATATGGCCACTGCCGTAACGTTAGTCCCTGGCGCCTCATAGATTGGTTATGCGCGCTGCGTGAGCCCTTGACTTGAGAGCGTGACAATCAAAGCCTTTGGGTAACGGCCGGCACTATACACTGTTTCGCCTTACGTTGTACCGCAGGGAAGGCTACGAGCGCGAGCTCCTTGCTCTAGGGAACATCTCGGCGGCACAAGCTCTCGTGCGTTAAGAGCAGCTCCCAACGCTATGAGCTCGAGCTTCTAGCCTTCTCATTCGGTACAACATAAGGTGAAATGGAGTATAGCCGATTGCTTGCAGTGTCTGAAGCCCAGCACGTGCCAGAGCGCTTTTGCAACCCCAGTGCACCAGATCACGTGGTCGCTTGTTCTTTACGATATCATTCAAGGGTTCATTCTACGACAAAAATAATCCGCGGAGAAGGGGAACAAAGGACAACACGAGTCTTCTAGCTGTACAGCTCGCTTGCACCTTTGCATTACCTGCATCATCATAACCCTTGTTGGTGCTAGACTGGTGGCAGCTGATAAAATCCGTTTGCTGTACTAACGTCTAACCCTTGGTTAGCTCAGTTGGTAGAGCGCTCCCCTGGGAATGGAGAGGTCCCTGGTTCGATACCAGGACCAGGCGGATTTTTTCGGCCGCGCACCAGTGATCTAGCTGTGTTTGGAGATTTGTGTTTGTCCTCCTGTTCCCCTTCTCCAGGGATTATTTTCATCATTGTTGTCCAGCTCGCTTGCAGCTTTCCATTTATCGGATTCTTAATACTTCTAACGGTGCAACTACAGAAAACGTGGCACGGCACTTATTGAAGAGACATTCCGAGGTCTTTATTGTTCATTTACTCAGCACTCGCTGTCATACTCGGAGGTTTCAAAATTTGAGGGTTTCAGATTGGCGACAGAATAAATACAACAATCCGCCGAGGTTGCCGACTTTCAACAATTTTCTGCTCGAAATAATTCCAGCATCTCAGATGGCGACTTCAAACAGTGTACTATAGAGGAAATCTATTATTATCGTCCGTTCTTTCGCTGCTGTTCGGATATTCTTCGCCCAAGCGAATCTCATCACGCGGGCATCAAGAGTAGATAAAGAAATCTCACGTCTCCTCGGTAAGCTTAATAGCGGGGCAACGGACACCCACCAACCGTTGTCTTGAAAACAACCCCCCCCCCCCCCTTTTTTTTCCTCCCAATAAAAAAAAATATATATATATATATTCCCACTATTTCCTAGAGCACCCATCTACCCGATGAATAGCGGCAGGGAATAATGGAGGCATCCCCCTCTCCTTTAGTCTGGGCGCCCCACCGAAATAATGGGACGCCGCTAACGGAATTTCGGCGTCGTGCCTTCCCCGGCATGCGCCGAAAAAACCCGATGGAGCCGGTGCAATTTTATTAGGAGGGTATGACTTTTCTGGCAGCATTCCGTACAGTTCGAAGTTTATTCGACCGTAAACAACGATATTTATAAAAGCGAATGTTAACACTACGATTCATTATCTTAGGACAAGTGTTGTTTACTGCTGCGTTAATTCGGAAAAAAAGAAAAATAGAAGACATAATAATTAAGGGTCCGTGTTTTCGGTATTTGCTTTTCTTCAAAATCGTTCTCTTCTCCCTCTTTGAATCGGTGTCTAAATTGAATGCCGGAGAGGAATCGGTGTTTATGGGGCTTATGTTGTAAAGCAACTCTATAATTACTACAGTGAGCTCCAGAAACATCGCACTTGTTCCCATTGTGGCTTATCTTCCGCTCCCAAGTTCGTTACAAAGAAGCGCCTCCACTCAACCCCTTTCCTAATGGGGGTCTTTGTTTCCTCAAATTTCCAACCATGCAATCCTTGAACAGAATCTCGAATCCTGGAGACAAAAATTCGAAGTGGTTCCAACCACTGTGCAGTCAGATCGGTCGTAACCTTCCACAAAAAGGATTTGTTTTTTTCCTTCGGCTCTAGTTGGTTTCTGGGAACGTTAGCAACGGCGTTCTGCCCAACGTTTTCGCCGATTCGTGCTGAAAGAAGAATGGCAAGTGCTGCCACCTGTTCACAGCGAGGTTGCACCGTATCTGGTCATCTTTTCACTGATCCAAAGAGGAGGGAAGTATCCTTTGTACGATCTTCGAGGGACAAGAGAAACATCCTTTATAAACGTGGCCTCTCTAACAAAAACCAAATAGAAGGTGTGTAGCAAAATAAATGACATAAATAAATAAAAACATTGAAAAGAAAAAAATAGAGCACAGGTTTCTTGGTCCACGCTTTTTTATTCCGAGATAAGGAGGGAAGAGTGCAGAGACAGTCCGATGCGATTGTTCGCGAAAGGATCGGATTGTCTCCAACCGGAATCCGGAAAGCCTGACCAACCCGGCGTCCCTGCGGCTACACCTGACTTCCCCGCACAACTTGCTCCGCGTGTAGTGGTGGCGGCCGGTCAAGCATGGGCGCGCCCTCCCCAAAAACAGGTGCACTGGGACGAGCCGGAAGTTTTGTGGCCGTCTTTGGGACAGCGCTAATCCAAGTGACACACTTTACGAAAAGTTCAAAAAGAAAAAGAGAGAAAGACGGCGGCATTTGAATGCGACGATGTGCAAGCGCTGTCTGCTCATCTTTTTTTTTTTTTTTTCTTTTTCTTTTCCAAGGTTTTTGCAAGTTTTTGCGTGTTCAAAGATAAAAAAGAACGTTGCGCTACATTAGTACCGGTTTTCCAACTAGTATATTGTAGTGCACGCCCTCGAACGACTAAGATCGTGTAGGTGACGTTTCGGCTGGTTCTTTTTTTTTTTTTTTTGTTTTACTGCTGCTACTAACCGATCTTTTTACACTAATGAATGCCGAGACGCTAGCGTGAGAACGGGTTGCTTTAGAAATGCAACGGATCAAGATCAACACAAGCAAAAAAATGGGGGTTGGACAAAAGCCGTTGTGAACAATAATGGTGTTGGAAATCTTGGCAGCAGTAAAGAAAAAAAAGAAAGGGTACGGACCATAAAATAAAAACACTGAAAACGCTTTATCGCTGCCGTCGTCTCTTTTTTTATGCGAGGGGGTTAGCAAATATCCTTGTGTCAAGGCCACGGGCCGTTGCAGTCAGGGGAATCAGGCTAAACTTGGATACCTGCATGATACTAGCGTTCGCGCATTCGCGAACATGTCGCTAGAACAATGTGAAACGAAAGATAAACTTAAGTGCTTTTATCGACGTGTAGTGTGTTCTATGCGCTTCAAAAGCGTATCAGAAGCACCAGCTAGAGTCGCCTCCGAGACAATGCGTAAGAAGAGATGCTTCAAGTGGTCCCGATTAAGCGAAGTGCGAGTAGCGCGGACCGCTGAGACGAAAACCTTGACGACAACAACTCATCAGCGTCGAGGACAGGAGCATCGCGTCGATGCAGAATCAGCCGCGGAGCGTCGAATGCAATAAACGCTTGTTGGGCCGCACAAAAAACTGACCTGAGCAAGCTGAAGCTCTGGCGGGGTCGCTTGGAACGCAGCGGAGGCGGCGGCGTCGTAGGAGCCGGCGAAAAGGGGTTCACGTTGGCGCCGACCTCGACGAGATGCGTCCGTTGGCGACTCCCGACGACGTCCCGCGTGCTGGGCGCCTCGGACCGCTGAAGTAGGGTCTTGGGAGTCTGCGGCGACCCGAACAACCGAAGCGCCCTGATCCTCTTGTACGGAGGCGTTTCTTGCCGCGGGACCGGCCGCACTTTGAGCACGGGTACGGACGGGGATCGGTCGGCCGATCGCACGACGCCAGAGTCCGTGGAGCTGTTCAAGTCGCTCGTCGGAGGCGAGTCCGAACCCCTCGCGTCGTCGTCGTCTCTGAAGAGGGACTTGGGCGAGAGACGGTAGCTGGTATCCATGGCTCGAAGCCGCGACATGCACGGGGACGATCCGATTCGAATTCGACTTCTCGTCGGCATGGAAGCCCGGAGAAAAAACTGCGTGACGTTCTCCCGCCACTTTCCTGGTGTCACGTGAGCTGGTCCGGGTCGGCCAATGAGAGCGCGCGCTGCCGCAAACGTCACTTCCACGTTATTATTGTCACGTGGGTTGATTTGGCTCCGCCAATGGGATTGCGTGCTACCGCGTACGTCACTTCCGAGTCGGGGAGTTTGCGCTCGGGGGACGGTATAGTAATGGCGGCGCGCCTAACGGCCGTTCTCTCGCTCCACGAGCAGACGACGGCCCACGCGTCATGTCTGCGGCGTGGCTGGCGGGGCCTTCGATTTGTTTTGGAGAAGGGAAATGAATAATTTCCGTTGACGCTGACAGTGATGCGCGTCTTAGCTCGTTTCCGTCTCTTCAAGGAAACTCAGCATTGCTTTTAAAACTGTTATTCGTAACTCCCCCCCCCTTTTTTTTTTTTTTTGAATCTGCGGTTAATTTGAAATTTCTGATAGTCGTTGTCTTCACTTTGATTTCTTTTGACAATTTTATTCATCAGCAAAAGCGCGACGAACGAACCACAGACCTTTGCGATCTATCCTTTTTTTCTTCTTTTAACTGAGTTGCCAGAGCGACAATCTGACAACAAAAAGTGGCGGTCATTTATTTCATTTATTTATTTGAACCGCGATGGAATTCCTATAACGTCAACTAGATGTAGGGGGGAAAAAGAAAACAAGTATCTTGACGATCTAGTCATTCTGTGCGTCGGCTGGTCGCACACCACGCGTCTTCCCACAATCGCTATTTTCGATGTGATTTTGAAACTGCTCTAACGTAAACGCATATCGCAATCGTGTAGCAGACGAAATCAGGACGTCTGCTCCTGATGACGTCACGAACAACGTGGATGATTCATGCGGCCGCGGGTCAACAGGGGAATCCCGTGACGTATCGCCAGATAAAAATAATAAAGGTAAAAAGGGCGAATACTTGCCCAAACCGGCTCGGAAGAAATGCCCCGCCAGTGGCGTCAGCCAGACGAACGACTTAGTGCAACGACTCTGTCTTGGCTGCGTTGTAATCGTCTGATTCTTGAGAACATAAAAGAATGCATTAATCCTCAAAGATTCAGCCTGCAGGACATTGTCCTCTTTCTGTGCGTTTGTGTGTGGTATTGCTCCGTGATGTTCAAAGCTAATCAGCACAATCTCGAAAGAAGGAAGGTGATTCTTAGAATGGATGCTTGGGCGAGTTGAGTATTCATATTGTAGGAGAAGCGCTAAGTAGATTCACTCACCCTCAAACTCACACTCACACCAGAAAAACGGTCATTCACGTCGCGACGTGAATGACCGTTTTTCTGGTGTGAGTGTGAGTTTGAGGGTGAGTGAATCTACTTAGCGCTTCTCCTACAAAAGGAAGGTGATTATTTCCGTTGTGCTGAATTAACGCGGGTGCGCGCGCAGACAGGGCATTTCAAATTGGTCCTTTCCCAGTAGGTTTATTTATTAGGGGTGTAAATGTGTGTCGTATTCTTCATTGAGGGGTGTTTCTTTCTGCGATGTTATTTAATTGGCGCTCACCCGAAGGGTACAGTAATGTAAGTTTATTATTGTCATTAGGGCTGGGCAATTGATCGATGAACTTTGCCATTAATTAATCAATTTTTGAATCGTGATAAAAAATTTTACCGGTTAATCGAGTGGGTTCGGTGGTGTGAAACTTGTAGAAAGAAAAATGCCTGTTTCACAAAGTGCTTGAGCAACAGGCGAGCTGCTGCCCGAGGCTGAGGAAAACAAAAAAAGGGGACACCGCACACAGAATTGGAGACAGAGCATTGTTGGTTTCCCCAGTAAAGCACTTTCGCATTCCCCATGACTCATTCGGATCTATTATAAGGTGAAAATAACCACGTAATATATTTAATTTGAGAAATGAAAACTGCTTTCCCGTGATTTCTTTTGGTGGCGGGACAGCGTCAAGTTTCAAGTGTGGTATATACACTCAGTCATTAATAACCACGGTGAAAAAAAAGTATTAGCAAAGAAAACGTGTAGTTTAGGCACTCTAGTTAGATATTATGCCTGAATGTCGACACAGCCGTTTACTTTATTCATTAATTGATCGAAGGGTAGAAATTACTCGAATTAAAACTTTTTTTTATTTATATTTTTAAGGGCGCTTAGCCCTTACTATTTTTGAATGATTCGGAGATTACGGAACGAAAACGTCTATCCACTTTTGTCGATGAAAGCTAGTTGTTAGTAAAGAGTTCGGGCGAAGCTCCCCCTACCTTTTATGCAGATCGCGAACGCTGGAGAGGATGCGTGGCCCCCTCTCCAGCGTTCACTCTGCTAAAGAAGTGGAAAGAGTCGGGATATGACGAGTTTCCCCCGAACAGTCGCGCCGCTGTGTGACCGCTTGGCCGCAGCAGACGGAATGATAGAATTATCAGCGAACAGGCCTCCAATCATGTTTGAACATGCCTACTGACAGCTCTTGTACGACCAGCGTGACAGGAATGTCCATACAAGGACGAAACATGCCTCAGACAGTGCCTGCACACTGGATGGATGGATGGAACGGCACTTTGTCTAAAATAACAAACATATGCTTGCCCTTTTAAGCCAATTTTCTACCCCATTAACTATCACGAGGCGGTGTGGGATATCACCAGGATGAGCTTTGGTTACAGTCTTTTGTATATTTTTTTTTCTTTTTGTAGCGTGATTACGGCATTCATCCCTCACCGATTTTGGCAAACGCCACCAGATGGTGCTCTAGTCTTTGACGTCCCAAAGAACTTCCGCCACCTTCACAAAGGCCACCTTCACACCGCTACTTCAAATGTTGATGAAACGTCTAACCACCAATTCTCCAAGTGAACTCCAAAAGAGCAAAGGAGTGCGAGATCTGTTAAAATGTCTCGAGTATTCTTGTAAACCAACTTGCCACCTCCAAGATGCAATATTGTACAGCCGAAGGCCCGCGTTAAATCTCTAACTTGGGTGTACGGGTAGCATCTATGCTTTCCAGCACTGGTGACATAAGCAAGCTCAAGAGGCTTGCAAAGACGATGCGACCGGAAATCGCTTGGGACGCGTGCGGTTGTTCACGTTTGTAAACAGCCGCAGTGTAACAGGTTGTTGTTGTTTCCGAATGTTTCTTTTGGTTTTGTTCTTTATCATTATTGAATTGTTTGTATACTACGCCGGGAACACGTCCGTGCGCACTACACCCAGGGAGATATAGTGTGCACTATACATATACCCAAGGAGTAAGCTCGTGTACGCAAATAACGTAGGAAAACTAAAAGCGGTACAGTGATACGATTAATCGAGTGCTCTATTCGTTGCGTCGAGGAAAGAGCATATCAGTAATATGACTGCGCGTAACTTTTCTTTTTTTTTTTTTTTTTTTTTTTTTTTGACGGATATATTAGTCTAGTTGTTAGCTCAGACACGGTTTCGTTCCTGGGGCACTATATGCGACACGCATCTTGGCCAGAAACGCTTCCTCTTATCGGCAAATGCCCCGTCGGGCCCATCGTCTCCGAGGCTCGTCACCATCCCGGCTATGACTGATGAGAGGTTGACAAGGTTTTTCACGGAGTCAGCACATCAGCTGACTCAGGACACAAGGCCGCGTTCGAGAAGAGAGCCTGGCCCCGAAGAGTATATGTATATTCCAGATAGATATAGATGCCGACCCCCGCATTTTTGCTGCCCAAGTGTGTGTGTGTGTGTGTGTGTGCTGGATAAAACCGCAGTATAGATACTGCGAGGAACGTCATGTCGCGCTCCGCCTTATCGTCTCCTTGCTGCGCACGTGATACGCGGGGTCCTTTGCGTAAGGACCAAAGCTATGCGACCTCCAGAACGTGAGTCATGCAGATGAGTGTGGCCGTGTCCGCGGCCTTGCCTCTCGACGACAGTCAAGCGTTGACGCGGCGGAGATCGACGAAGGTTAGCCGCCGTCACGCTGAACAGAGCATGGCGCAAAAGACACACTGTTTCCTCCAGACACGATGACGCAATAGACTACTTCCATAAAGCCCTACATGCAACACGGCGCGCGTTGCACTCTGGGAACTAGTTGGCCAGCCAGGGAGGAGGGTGGCATGGTTTCGGTTTCGATTGACACGTCGGCAAAAGATTATACACAGAGCGTGGACTATTAACGGCCGTTATTTCATGTTTTCTGGTCCCGAGAGCGTCATTTGTGGTTTCTAAACTAACCTAAATGGCCAGACCTTGAAGCTTTAGACAAGCCCGCGACGTATAGTTTGTCTTAACTCATGCTTGTTGTATTTTTGTGCTTGAGCCTTTCTGTTAGCGTTCCAATCGAGGTATGTGGACGAGCCAGTGCTGGGAATCTCGACGCTGCGAAGCTCGGGGATCTTGCCTATGTACGAACCAACAAGCTGTAGCAACCAATAAGTATGCATACATCGAGCTCGCGCCTTTACATTAGTGTTGTTCATCAGAAAGTTTGTTTGTTTCGTGCGTCCATAGACGAAAAATCACTTTTTGCAATTACTGTTTTTCTTAATACGCCTGAGTACGCGAGGTAAAACTCGGAGGCGCCATTGAAAAGCTCAATTTTAACAAACTTCTAATCTCTTATCTGTACTGACTCGCAGCACTGCACGAAGTGAGGTCCCCACCAGCTTGCATTCCACTAATATTCAACATGGCGTATGCGCATAAAGTTATCCTGCAGTCATTAGGCACATTCGCACATACAAACCATTTTTAGAAAGCAAAGGTCGAGCACTTGTGTGAAGAATGTCGCACCGTTCGCCGGGAGTGCGCCGGACGGGCAAGAACCCCTATGCGGTGCGCCAAACGAACGAAATTATTCAAAGCGCGTTTGACAGTTGCTAATGGCCATAATATTTGTTATGTGTTTGCTTTCTTCCTGCCTGAGTATGTCGAGATAATTTCAGACACACCGTTCAGGCACAGATCTTGGGCGTCAGTAAAAGCTCATCCAAAAAGGCTTAGCGAGGAGTGGGGGACGCTTGCTAGGGCCTCCGTCGTAGCTAGCCGATCTCAGCGTTTGCAAAAACTTAATCTTCTATCAGCATAAAATTTGCGTGGGAGATATATGATGACA